TTCTCTGGGGATAGAAGTTAGCACGCTGTCAAGGTCGGCATAAAAGGGCTCTTTGATGTCATCCTCTGCATCCAAGTGTTGGGGCATATGAAAAAGGCATGACGCGAGTGATTCAGTGGGACTCAGAACATCATGAGGCACTCGTTTGTCCCAATAAGCATTTCAGTTAGCCTGTGTAGGATGCATTGGTGGATGGCAAAGACAACCCCATAAATGCGATTTGTCTCCGCAGCAGGGTAACCCTTCCAGAAGAAGGTATAGCCAGACCCCCATTCTGTGAGCTGGCCCTTGTCTGGGAGCCAGGACTCACTAATGGCTGCTATGTTGATGTTATACCTAGCCAGCTTTTTTGCCACAAGGGCAGTTCCTCTTTCAGGACGCTCATTTGTGCCAGTATCCAGACGGGTCCTGACATTCCATGCAGCGGCCAGAAGAGGTTGTATATTTGTTTTTGTTTAGATATGGGATTATAATTGTTTTTTCGACCGCATAAGGATGACCTTACTGGGTGCGGTTGCCCAGTCAAGTTGGGTTTTTAGGCAGGCTATGTTTAGGGCACCTTTTCTAGCCCCCTCTGTTTGTGGGGTGAGCAGAGTGGCTCCTTGAAAGGGCTGCTCAGTCACACAGAGGACTGGATTATACTGCTGCCTAGATCCCAGTGCATAAACGACCATCTTATTTGTGCCGCCCATGTGCAGAGTTGTGACTAAAGACTCCCGGCGGTCATCTCTGTCTGTCCCCGTCACCACTCGTCCGTTGCCATAGGACTTTTGGGGGTATAGGGGTATTGATGACGATGAGAAGCTGGATGATGGCTGCGCGTGAGTTGATTTATGTGATGAGGCAGGAGCGCAGGCTGCAACCACACATCTTGGCTCTCCCTTTTCCTGATCCAGTGATGCCATGACTAGGAAGAGGGAGAGTTGCAATGGACTGCCGATAGCCCAGTTTGTTGGGCTTTTCCTATGTAGCCTGTCCATCAGGCATTGCCTTCATCTGCATGTGTAGTTGTTGGGTTCCCATGGTGGTCACCTCTCCGCCTATACCACTGTTGGGGTCTTATTGGAGCTCTGTAAGCATGTCTGCCTGATGCAGGGCTCCACTGCATATTTTTAGATTGGGGTTTACTCCCATAGCCTAATACTTACCAAGGTTAATCCGCAAGGCAGCGGGGCAGTTGTCGTTGGGCGATAGGATGTGTCCACATGCCAGTGGCCTATGTGCTGTCCTTCTGGGGCTCACTGCTACTCCGAGATCCCCTGCTTGTCTAGCCTGGGCCCATGAGGCACCCAGTTACAGTGTGTTGCCACAAGAAGGCACAAGAAGAGTCTTAATGGTGAAGAGGCTGTACTGGCAGGGGAAGACATGGAAGTTGCTTCCCTGTTCGCTACGAGGGCTAGCTAGCGGCGGCAGCTGACAGCGAAAGGGAGCAAGCAGTGCTTACACCTTAACACTAACATAATGCTGCCACACTTGATGCATTACACCACTCTGTGCATGCACACATACATACAGGAATTAATTAAGACAACTTACATCTATCTAGTTACCCACACCTTACTTATACAGTACTTATCACAATCTTCCTAAAAATACTTAAGGTTTCATGTTTATCAAGACATCTTCAGGTCATGAGACCCACTAATCCCCTTCCCAAGAAAGGGTGACCTGACATTCCATCCCTGTAAATTCAATTGCCCCTGAAGATGTCTTGAATAAAGATGAAAACTAAGGCGCTCCAGTGTATACAGGTACAGTACTTAGTTGATCGAGAGGTAATAGTGAACAACACATGCGGTGGCGTCAGGACACAGACTGAGCAGCGGAAACCTCGATTTTGCTGAAATTTTTATTCAACAAACAGGGGTGACTCGAATTAGTCCGTTAAATCGAGAAAATACTGTGTACAGTCAGCTCACTACCAGTGTACAATTCCTTACTGTACTCACTTTATATTGGTCATGACAATTCCACAATACTTGCACAACTATCAGCATTAGTTGTCACTTGGCCTGTACTTCACACTCTGAGCAGAAACGGTCGACTGACTAGGCCGTATGCTGCCACATATATACCTCATCAGACAGTCCTAGAACAGCCCAGACAGGTCTGGGAAGTTCTAGTACATTCTACTCTGATCAAGGCTTACAATAAGAAATAAGTCTTAACAAAAATGATGCAATACGTACATTTTAGAAAATTCTTAAATAGGTAATACATCAATATATACAAGAATATCTCTCTAAACTTGCCAAAATAACTGCTGCTTAAAGTAGAATATAATCAAAACAACAAGTTCACGAACATTATAATACCAAATTATGCCTCGGCATAACAATATCTACATTTTTTAGTACAGTGGTCCCTCGGTTAACGAGCGCCTCAGTCAACGAGATTTCGGTTAATGAGTTACCTTCCACAAGATTCTTAACTTCGGTTAACGAGCAATCCCTCGATTAATGAGTTTCTTATGAGCTGACCTCAACATGTCTTTGCTTGCATTTGGTGGTCCACCAGCTGTAGTATTAGTCCGCCAATACAGTAATCGGTTCTAGGGCTTATATTCCTTACCATTTTAGTAAATATCAAGAAGTTTATACTATTCAATAATTTTAAAAGTTTAATATTAATTTTTTTTAGTCATTTTAACAATTATTGAACATAAATGAAGGTAATGAAACTAGTTTTATGCGCGCCATCCAGCCTGTCAACACAGCAAACAGGCGCCAGTCTCTCTGTCTTTTCAGTGGAGGTAACATCTTGCTTGAGACTCTCCAACTAAATGCTTTTTTTCTGTTTGCAAGCAAATTATTGGTCATTTTGAAATTTATTTTACATATTGACAATATATAATGCAGTGCAGTGTTGATTTAAAGAAAATAATCTTGAATTACACCAAGTGAACTAAAATTTTATGGGTGAAATGGCGCCATGGGGTGACTTCTCTTCCACCCCAATGCCTTCTCTTCTCCCTTCTCCTCCACCCCCATTCTAATTCCCATCATCATCATCATCCAGGAACCTTTTACATACACACCTCAAAGTAAGTGTACTTTTCTACCCTTTTTGTTGAATTTAGGCAATTTTCGGTGAGCTTGAACCAATTACCCCAAAACCCATTGAAACAATGGTTTCGGTTAACGAGCAACCTTCTAGAACGGATTGTGCTGTTAACCGAGGGACCACTGTACTGTACAATAAATAGTAAAATAAGTTTAGAATTATGTAAATGTAAGCTATTTTATGCAAATGACGTCTGAAACTCATGGTGACATGTTTGTTGTGGAGCAGAGGCCTCTGCTAATCTCATTCCATTTAGAATTGCCACATGTAAGTATATAAAAATTAATTTTGTTTGAATTCCATTTTTCTATTCACCTACCTATCCAGTACAGGTATTATATAATCACAAGTCTAGTATTAAAATAAGGTGGAAATAACAAAATTAAGAGGTGTAAAATAAATGCCGAGTGTGATACTGTATGTCTCCCGGCCCACTCAGAGATTGTGGCAACATTATATTTTCAAGCCTGACACTAAACTACTTGGAAAGGGAGCCGTTATATAAGATACTACCTATGAATCGGCCAACCTGAATTTTATAAATGATTTAAAAAATCGTTGTCTAGCTTTTCCAGCAAAAAACCTAAATAAATTTTTTGTTTACCAGAGGGGCTGCATAGCTTGGTTTATAATATAGAAATCACGTATTGTAGGAGTATGCTACCAGTGCGCCACCTATGAACCCAGGCCGTTATTACACTGGTGTTACCCTGTCTTTGAATATTGTGATCTGTGCCTTACTATACAGTATTGTTCTGTATATTATCAATCGCTGTGCATCGTTCCTATTGCTATGCATCACTGTTAATGTTGTGATTTTAGTGTTACTGAGTACTGTAAGGATTGTACTTTACCTTGCACTATTGTGATACTGTGTAATAAAGTGATTGCTCCTCCCTCCCCCTCTGCTCTTGTCGGCTAAGAGGTGGACCAGGTAAGAACTGTTTACTACTGTATTCCCTTTATGTTTTTGACCTTATGATAATTAAAAAAAAATTTCACATTCTGTATGGACGAATGTGTGTGCACGTAACAGAGTACAAGAAAATAAAGAAAATTACGTATATACAGTACAGTATATCCAAAATTATGAGTTGAAGAATAACTTATCTCACAGCTCGGCCTCACCTGCTCTGAGTGCTACTGGGTGGCGAGTCGGCCAAGCAACTCCGCTACACAATTACGTGCCATCACTCTGGGTTTTAGGAATGCATCCAGATCTCTAGACGGCGTTTTCCTGTATATTAAACACATTGTAGCACATCACTCAGAGTGCACTGTATATATTCAGTCTACAATGTGACAAAATAATTGAATTACAGGTTTTACAAAATGTATAAATCTCCACAAGAGGATGGAAATAATGGAAGTTACAAAGTTTTACATAAAATTTCCTCAAAATGAACCAGATGAAGACTCAATATGCAGTGGCAATATATCATAAGAATTATTGAAGCACAATATGGTGTGACACAATGGTCCTGTATCAAAAATATACAAGTTTCTGATTTTCTTGATGCTTCAAATAAACTAACTGACCCAAGAGTTGTTGTTTTCAAATACCATTTTTGTTGAGCCTAATAAGTAAGCCTCAACTTCCTCTTATAACTTATTTAACCTTCTTCACCATATATCAGGTGAAAACCAATCAGACAAGTTCAGTATCAGTGAAGTAGAAAGTTGGAGTACTCAGAGAAAACCCACAATGCTTGGATTACATCCAACCTAAAAGGGAATCAAATATAAAATGTAGCCATGAGAGGTAAGAAAGCTTCCACAGTGCTCCCATACCCTAGTTAGTATTAAAATATGGTATCACAACAGTTTATCCAACAATACCTAAATACATTAGACCAAATTATGCCTGTACTGTACTTGGGCACGTATGTTGTGATGGTCTCGTCACATTTACCACAAGGGAAAGTTATATAAAAACATTTATTGTAATTATTTATTCCTGTTACTATAATATTGAAAATACATGGATATACAGTACTGTATAACTATTAACCAAAGATGTAATGTTGGAACGTGATCCAAACTTCAAACATTTTTGCTTAGAAAAATAAAAATGAAAGTAAGTCTTGGAGATGCAAAAAATAAAGGGGATATATATTTTGACAGAAATCATAAAGTCCTTGGCACAGCTAATACTGTACTGTATTATATTTTCATTTGTACAACAGAGGTACATGTAATGAGAAATCTTGAATATAGTAAATTATATACTATTTATGTAAAACAAATTCTAAGTTTCCTTTGTGAGCAAAACCATTGAATTTTGTATCATAATAATCGCTTCATTTTATTGCTGTTCTAATGTCATTTTCTTATTTGTTTGCACTCATATACATACTTATTCTACAAGTGTTCAGATATATTACAGTACTGGTATATTTTTAAAAAAATTTCTGTGTCACATTTCTCAAGCGTCTCAACTTTAGGTATGTGAACTTTTTGGGGGCATCACTTTGGCCACCTTTCTTCGTTCTGTTCGACATTTGCACTTCATTGTGGTCCAGGAGGCAGGAACCAGCGGGTGGCCCTCTTCACAGTAAGCAGTAACGACCCCGAGCTCCGTACCAGCCGTAGAAAGCTCGTAGTTCCGCAGATCACCGAGGGAGAGAACAACTGCCAGTATTATGTCATCTGGGCGAAAGCAATTGTACATTTCCACCTAAAGGAGAAACAAAAGTTATGGTAAAAGTCTCGATATCTTTAGTCAGCAATTTTTTTATTTACAACACACATCAAAATTTCACTCATTTAGCCCAACTTCCTTCACCCATTTAGCCCCACTTCCTTCACCCACTTAGCCCCAACTTCCTTCACTCATTTAGCCACACTTCCTTCACCCACTTAGCCCCACTTCCTTCACTTATTTAGCCCCACTTCCTTCACTAATTTAGCCCCACTTCCTTCACTCATTTAGCCCCACTTCCTTCACTCATTTAGCCCCACTTCCTTCACTCATTTAGCCCCATTTCCATCACTCATTTGTCTCTGAGGTAAGTGGTCTTCTGGATTCATATATAAAGTTGTCTAACCTAAGGCACAGTAAGAACAGGTAAGGTAAATTGCAGGGTGATAACATTATAAACGAAAGAGAGAGAGATGGAGAAAGAAAGAGACATATCACTCTTTTTCTCTTTGATTTACCAATAAACACCAAATACCTGTTAAAATCTTACATACATAAACTTGAATATCAAAAGAACTCAAACACTATGTGCATCACAAATCTCCATATTAATAAGAATATAAGATAAAAGACTCAAAGCAGCAAGGTGCACAATGAACGGCTTTCATGGAGTTGAACAACGTTTGAGGAAGGACATGGTGATGACGGGTGACAGTGGGTTGTGTGAAGCAAGAGATACAGCTGTAGAAATTTGGGGCCTTGTTGTAGAAAAGGAACAACACAGCATAACTTCTCTCATGCTTGAATGACAACAAACAATGCGAGAATATAACCCATTATTATTTCCTCATTATACTGTACTGGTTACCTTGCAATTAGAAAAAAAAATTATATATTATTTCTGTTGTATTTACTAAACTTTATTTAATATATATATATATATATATATATATATATATGTAAC